CAGAGGGGTTGTGGTGGTATGCAAGAATGCAATTTAGATTGTATGGAGCTATGGCCACTTTTCAGACAGTCGTGGATGAAGTCCTGAGATCCCATAAGGAATTCACAGGAGCTCCCCTGGATGAAATTGCCATGTTTAGCCAGGACTTTGAAAGCCATCTAAAAAGGTCCAATTAGTACTGGATGGCAGGGTTTTGTTGAACACTTAGAAAAGGAAGATTGGGTTAGAGGAGGCCCGTTTTTGTGGTATGTTGTAGACAGAGAAACTCCAGCTGAACAAGGTGGATGCAATCCAAAAGTGGCCTGTCCCCTCACCAAAAAGTAGGCATATTCCATTCTCACCATTTTAAACATATTTGTTCCCAACTTTGTTAGCTTGGCCACACCTTTGACAGACCTTACAAAGGTGAAAGCCCCACTGTCAATCATGGGAATCCAGAGGCAGAGGCATCATTCCACCACTTAAACCAGACATTGTGCCAGCAACCAGTCTTCAAAGACTTGGACATTCAGAAATAGTTCATTGTACAAAGAGTTGATTCAGACCTGGAAATTGGTGAAGTCTTGACCCAGCTAGCTGGGAGAGAATAGCATCCTGTCATGTACTTGAGCTGAAAGTTTACTCCAGCTGAGAAAAAAAATTCAAATGTTGAAATGGAGTGGATTCTTTTTTTGCTTTCAAATTATTAGTGGCGCATAAACTTGGGGAAAGCATCAGAATGAGGATGCCCTTTTTCAGGTCTATTGCTACTTTGGGTGAGGTGCCCAGACCACTGGCCTGGAATGGGGGGGAGATACAGTATATATGTGGAGAATTAGCCTTAGACTGGGTAAAGAGGAGGTTAATTTGGGAGAGCAGATATTTTCTCTGCATTCCTACCTATTAAAAACAGTTTAGCTCAGAGAGAGTGTGGTGGAGGTGCCTATAGAGAGGAAAGTAATTTTTCATCATTCATGCCTGTGAAAGACTCTCATGTTTTGGATTTATCAGCGCTGTTATATTTCGAGTCTGTGCACATTTCTGCCCGCTGTTTAAAAGATGTGTATTGTGGTGACAAGAACCTGTTATTTGTTTGCTTGCAATGAAGCTAAATGAAAAGCCTGTATTTGTTCCACTGCATGTTTGCTGAACACTAAAGAATATTTTAAGAATACAAACTGTCTGATGGATGCCTGTTTTCCCTCTGGACCTGATATATATATATATATATATATATATATATAGATAGTAGTTTAAAAACTGTAATTTATGTTTTCAATGATTTGTCAGGTACATTGAAGTTTAGCATATTTTATACTCAATTTTACAATTTTGCTTAACAGCATGTTCCTCTGTAAAGGAGAAACCTGGTTTTATATGAGATATTCTAGAACTTTATGTTCCTTATACTTCATCTAAATGCGAAGCACAAAATTTTGGCTGTATAGTAATTGCTCTTTTATTGCCATGAACATGATTCAGTTTTTATCTTTTACTCGCTATGCCTACAAATTACAAAACTAAAAGACCATGAATGCTGGGGAATTTAGAAACTTTGAAACTATTTTCACTGCTTGATCAAATTATAAAGCAACTTTTTAGCTAACAAAATAAAAAATACAATTGCTGTAATTTTTATTTATTGATCGTAAATTATATATGTAAGTGAAACTGTATGACAGTATGACAGTATGACAGTCAGGTAATGAGGGCCCTCTAGTGTCTGATAAATGCACTAGTCCCAATTATAGAGCCCATGTCATACCGTGGGAAGCAGTGATATCTGGTTCACAACTAGTTTGACTTAACAGTGTATATAACTTTTTGTAAGAACACATCTCGCAACTATTGATGGTACATTTAACTCTGTTGCTGCCACTGATGTAAGACTTATGTTGGTAGTGGAAGTGATTTGGACAGCTGTAAAGCCACCTGATTCCTTTCACACGCACACAGTGAACATGCTTGCCACAGTGTCTATCCACCCAACCCTATATTCTGAGCTCATTACCCTGGAAAACAACACAGAAATTGCTTGAACTAGCAGAGCACTACAAATTTCTGTATACTGTAGTCTACAGCATAATTAGTTCAACATGACAATGTTGTCATGAAGTCAACTGATACATCTCTTTTCACATTTGAGTCATAGGACTGATTCAGGATTTTTTGTATGTGTAGGCTTTGGTGGCCTTAATTCACAATGACAACGACTTCAACTGCTTCTCCTTCATTCACAGAATACGATATAATGTGTGACAATATTCGTAGGAGTTCTATGAATGGTGGAGATAGCAGAAGTGGATGGGAGAGTGGTCCAACTTTTCTCTGTAGCATTGGTTTGTATTAATTCTCATAGTGATGGATGACATCCGTTCAGGGCAGTATCCAGTGACTCTGAAGTAGCAGGGATTTTTTTCAGCAGGAACATTGGGGAATGCAGTTCTGTCACCTCCAGCAATAAATATATGTAATAGCCAGGGGTGCTGGAGTGATGCTGGCTGCTGAGGATCTATTGCTGCTAGAGGGAATCTATTTTTACATGGGGGTCTATTGTTGCTGGGGAAGTCTATTGTTGCTGGTGGGAAATCTATTGTTGCTGGGAGGGATCTTTTGTTGAGGGAGAGGTCTGTTGATGCTGGCTGCTGGGGGATCTGTTGTTGCTGCAGGGGGTCCATTGCTGCTGGGGTAGCATTTTGTTGCAAGGGGTCCATTGTTGCTGGGGAGGGTCTATTGTTGTGGGGGATCTACTTTGGCTTGGGGGGGACCTGTTTTTTCTGGCTGCAAGGGACCTATTTTACTGATTTTTATGTTATCATGAACAAATTTCATACAAATTTTTTAGCATCAGAAAATGATACTTGGTTCTGTATTCTCTAAAAATGGGGTGGTACTGGGAGGTAGGTAGGGGATGGAACCAAAGGACAGTGCTCGGAGGTGGGTAGGGGATGGAACCATGGGATGGTGCTCAGAGGTGGGTAAAGGGTGAATACAAGGGGTCACTCAGAAGGGGGGAGTTCCTGCACCTATTCTCTATGAAAAAAAGGTCTGTGAAGGAGACACAGTAGGGAAGATTTTTACGAGAAGCAACTCACTGCAGCTGGTTGGATATGCGCCATTGCACATAATTATTAAATATGCTGCTGTATCTCCCCAAAAATACTGAACTTCAGCTTCAAAGGATAGGATCACCATATATACCTACATAAATAGCCCATATAATGAACTTGGTTTTGAATCATTTGCTTCAAGGTCAATACAAAGGACAAGGGGACTCTTTCATACTGAAAAAAGGCTTAACCTTTGCATACAGAAAAGCTTCTTCATAGAAAGAGCAGTTGAAACAGGTTCCCTAAGGAAATAGTTCCAACCACCTCAGTTAATTGTTTTAAAAATGCTGGATGCATTTCTGAATGGACAGAATACAACTGTCTATAAATATTTACAAGTAATAACACCAGAGATTGTTGATCAAGGAAATATCCAATTGCTTTAGGGTACCAGGAAGGATATTTTCCCTTGGTGGAGCAAATGTGGGCATAGGAGTCTGTATATTGAAGTTTTTATTTTTTTATGGTTTAAACTAGGACTAGTGTCTTTTTTAACCTATGTAACTGGCTCTCAAAGTACTGCTAAAGGTGAATGAGGTGCTGTGTCCTAACGTTAATTAGCTTCCTGGCTTTTACAAAGTCTAGTGTAAGATTTCACAAACAGAGATATAATTTTTTTAACCAATATGTTTTGATACCAATGTTTACTCTTCATCCTACTGTAATATGAATGTGTATTAGTGGTATTAAACACTAGATGGCAATGTAGTATATTACATTGTTTTTGTTATAATAATGATAATAATAGGAAATCCTTTTTTACTTTTAGTTTAGTTACTTTTTTGATAACTTTTAGTAACACCAATAATAATAATAATAGTAATAATAATATAAATGATGTCACTTATTTCCTAGCCTAAAATATTAACTAAAAAAAATCATAGGTTTCATCTTTATTGTCATCATCCATAGAGGTGTCATCGCATTATTTTTCTAAATATTATACAGTGATACATGCTTCATTCAGTGAGAGATAGGATTTCTGATTTGGTAGACAATATACATTAAAAGGTGCACTAAACAGTACAAATTTTCATTTACTGCATTCTCTGAAAGCAGCTAAACTACTTTGTGCTTTCCCCTATTTAAGGTTTGAATTGAAATAGGTTTTACTTTTAAAGCTTGCTTTGCAAACAGAAAGTATGGCTTGCAATAACTTCATTTAAAGTTCCTCCATTCATTTCATTCCTCATGCTTGGATTTCTTTAGGTCTGCATTTGCTGCCACAAGGCAAATGTACAGATGTTATATTTTGAAAAGTAAGTAAACATGTTTTGTTTTATCTTCACCGAATTTTTTTATCCAAGCAGTGGTTAGTAACATTTGAGGTGCAGGCATACAAATTTGATCATACATGGAGAGCCAAGCACTGATGATAGTAATAGAATTTACTATTTTCTATTAGTTGGTTTATGTAAATTTCACTCTCTTCTGGTACATCAGGCTAGTGCTATTGTAATGGAAGCCTGCATAGATTAACAATGACACAACCAAAACTGAATTGCATGAAGCCAAACACATGTCATAGTCAAATGATTGCATGCTCTGATTTAACCGCTCTCCCACTGCCCTGCAGCAGAAATACTGCTACAGGGTGGCTCAAAATCATGTATGTATATATATATATATATATATATATATATATGTGATTTTGCATTTCTGGGTAGGGGGCACGTGCTAGCCGAGAGCGCCCTACCAGCGCCTCACCTGTCTATCACCGGGTCCCGACCGGTAATTCCCCACCAGCAACTCTCCCCTGTCAGCTCCTGCATAGCAGAGCAATACAAAGCAATATGCTTACACAGTAAAACACACACACCACATAGCAAAACACAACACAGCTCACAGTTAACCCTTTGATCGCCCCAGATGTAACCACTTCCTACCCTGTGTTATTACTACTCTTCAGAGCTTTTTATTAGCACTGATTACTGTATTGGTGTCATTTGGGTTGTTAGTGACAGTTAGTCAGTTGCCCCCGAGTGTCAGAATGCCTGTCGCAGTCCCGTTATAAGTCGCTGATCACCGCCATTACTAGTATATATTAAAAAAAAAAAATTCCAGTATCTATACCACCATTTGTAGACACTATAACTTTCACGTAAACCAATTAATTTACATGTATTGGGATTTTTTTTTAACAAAGACATGTAGCAGAATACATTTTGGCCTAAATTTATGACAAAATGTTATTTTTTAATTTTTTTACTGTACATGTTTAATAGCAAAAAGTCAAAAACATTGTTTTTTTTCTCAAAATTGTCGGTCTTTTTTTGTTTATAGCACAAAAAATAAAAAATGCAGAGACAATCAAATACGACCAAAAGAAAGCTCTATTTGTAGGAAAAAAGAACATACATTTTATTTGGGTGCAGCATTGCATGACCGCACAATTGTTAGTTAAAGTAATGCAGTGCCGTATTGCAAACAATTGCTTGGTCAGGAAGGGAAGTTAATCCTCTGGAGGGCGTGTGGTTAAAAAAATACATATTCAATCATAGCCACATATGCCTTAAAAAACATATATGTATATGCACTCAGTGCAAAGTCAGTTCCCACCAGGGGCGGACTGACCATTTGGAAACTTGGGCACTGCCCGAGGGCCCGGGGTCAGTAGGGGGCCCCATAAGATGCCCCTGGTACCTTTTTCATAGGCTTTTTTGAGTTTGGGCAAGGACACAGAGGCCCCATGATCCCCTATTGGCCGGGGGCCCCATGTGTTGTCAGTCCACCCCTGGTTCCCACATTTATACTAGAAAAATGAATCCCCCCCAACTTTCAAAGAGCAGTGTCTGCTGAGGTTTCATGTGGGTTAATTTAATAAATACCAACAGATTGTGAATGAGGTGAATATTTGTGACCTTCATCATTCAATCATGTGCTAGCAAAAATACAGGTTTTTTTTTTCCTTGCACACGATTGGGTATTTTTCACAAAGTGAATTTTCAATGTATTTACTAAAATAAAGGAAAATTCTCTTGCAAAATATTAATGTGTGAATCAGCTCTTAATCTCTCCTTACTATTAGCACACACTCATCTTTCTTTGCTCTTCTACTACTCTGTTCAGCCACTAGGAGTAAGACAAGCCCCTTTGTAATCGATGAGTTGATCAAGTCATAGCTTAGAATGAACAATGGATTAATATCATGTAACAACACAGTGCTTTTTGATAGGTTCAATGTTATCACATGAAGTGAGTCACATGTTCCACCATTCCCAAAATTATTGAGTATTTTCTTGACTCCTGAAAACTAATGGAGATTGGGATAATGAAGGATAAGAGAGTATGTGCTGCTTGGGAGAAGATAATAAACTCCTGTTAATAGTTGAACTTGTCCCAGGAGGTGGCACTACCTAAGGAGACCATAAGTAATTCAGGCCTTTTAACATGTAATTTTATCTATTAAATGCGCTAATTGTTGCTATACTTTGAAAGAGTAAATTATATTTACACTCAGCTCTTGACTATCAAAGTGCATGCAGAATGAATTAGCAAGTAAAATAAGAGTGTTTACGTTTTCAATTTAATGTAAAACAAGATAATGTCTTGCTTGTTTATTAAGAATATTTTCACTGGTTATTGAACTTTATAGAAAATGAGAGACATGTTTAATAGTTTCCTTTTCCAGCCATGTAATTTAGAACATCACTAAAACCTTTTACATAATACTGCAGTCTACACACTGCACTGCAGAAAGGCTGTAGTTTGGAATGCTAAATCCTGTCATTAAAACCTTCATTGAAAATATTTACTGTTCCCTACTGCAGCATTGAGTGTATCTTTATTTTAATTCAATGCAAAAGAAAAAAGCCCTGCAAGGTTAAAGGAAAATATTATCCAGGCAGAAATGCAAAAATATGCTTGAGAAAAATTATGCAGGATGAAAGCTGTTGTCCTGGGATGGTTTTGGTTAATGGTCTTGGTGTTCTTCCATAAAATATCAGCATAAAAGTTTCTGTGTTTATTGATCAAGTATACGTCTTGCATTAATTATATTTACCCTATACAGCTTACAGCAGTAATTTTGCTAACGCTGATAGCTTGCACAATCAATAAATGTAAATTAGCTGGTTTACACTCAATGTAGAATAATTGCAGCATGTACGCTTATAGCACAAACTACATGGTAAAAATGGATCAGGGTATGAAGCTGAAAATAGGGAGTATTGACATCAAACCTCAGTAAGAACTGAAATACTGTGGGGGGAATTTATGAAGCTCTTTTTGTATTTAATTTGTTAATGCATTGCTTCTTTTATTTTAAATGCAAGTTGGGGACAGATATATGCGTACACATTTTGCATAATAAATTAGCCACTATGAAAAACTAGCATTGTGAACTCCTCACTAAAACCCTATGAAATGTGCGTGTTTAAAAAACAGTAAGAAATGCATCTGTCTAAAAATAACACATACAACACAACATAATAAAATACAAAAAAACACAAAATAGACAGCTCTACACACTGTGTAATGTAAAACAAAGAATACCGATGCTAAAAATGACCACAATCTTGGTATATATATATACTGTACATACATATAAATAAAAAGTATTAAAAATATGATGTCAAAATGTCCAATAACATCTGTGCTAGGATCCAAACAGTTTCTGTGAAATATCACCACCATCCATAATTGAAAAGCAAGTCACTGTAAAGATAATATCCCATGCCACTGGTAGGTCAATGCACTCAATTTGGTAAATGATGGCCAAACAATATTAAGGATTACCTTCCAGATGATCAGCAGATAAATCTCCTAATTCAGCAGAAACACTTAGTCTCACAGGGAAGAAACAAAAATCAGTTTCAGTTGTGAAATTCTGTTAAAATTTATGGTAGTTTAAAAGCAGATAAAAAGGCCACTCACATGGTAACAGTCCAAAAAAGCACTATGTATACGGCATATGTTAAATCTCTTAGCCAGAGCATGAAACTTGCCCTTCCCTTATGCTTACTGAGGATTATGATGATATGATTAGTCTCTACCCTACGCATTTCATCATCAAGGTGAACTCTGGGCTCCAGATGTAATTACCTTGTTGACAAAATATGTAGTTTGGAAACTGATTACATTTATTTTGTTACAGCGTATGGCAGCATGCACCTTGATCATAATAAGGGATGGAACTCTGTGTGAGTTTCATGCTCTGGCTGGGAGATTTCACATTTGCTTTTATTATCCTTGGTTGCACTGTTAATATGTGAGTGACCTTTCTGTCCACATTTAAACAGCAGTACATTTTAACAGAATTTTCATATTTGAAGTGCTTTTCGGAAGTTTTTTGTCCACTGGTGATTGATACTAAGCCCATATTGACCTATTAGAAGCATTGGGAGAAGGAGGGGGGGGGGGGGGGTGTTAGTCTTCCAGTGGTCTGATTTCCAGTTATGGAGGCTAGTGGATAAAACATGACCAGCGTTACCCAGTCCTGAGCCCCTGTCAGGTGATGTGATGCAACGCATAGGCTGAAGCCACGTGACATCATCACTGGAGTTCCTGAAAGTGACCAGAGTTTACAAGGGAAAACACTGTATAGGCTGATTTTAATATTACCAAGTAGAATAAAAAGTGAATGTCTGTGTGCACTAAGGATTTAGTGCATGGAAAATTGTCAGTGTAAACTGTTGATTGTTTAATAAATGACTTTTATTTTATGGAAAGTACTATGAGAATGTTTATGTTTTACTCTGAATGTTAATACCTGGGAGGAGGATAGGAGGCACAGAGGATAGAAGAATGGATGGTGCTGTTTATGCCCCATAAGGGGAAGGCTTTCTGTGACCCTATAACATCTACTGTAGGTCATTAAAACCAGGAGGGAGCGCAAGTATTGTGGAAAGGTAATTACAAGGTGAAGGTTATATGAATGTGGAGTTTGGGCAATATCACAGAGAGATGTTTAATTTCCATGACATGGGATAATTGAAGTGGCTGTTTTTTTGGACTTACACTTTTTAAGTTTTTAGATTGAGCAGAAGATTGTTATGGTGGATAGACATTTAAACACAGTATTTCAATATTGTTTTACAGAGGGGGATATATGCACTTATTTGTGTTTAAAGTTACACCTTTCTAGAGTGCCAAGGCTGTGCAGATGATGCTTGCCCTAAATTTTTTAAATAAACATATGCTCTACCCATGCAAGGCAAAACAGAAGGTTTGCCGTACTTCCTTCCTCTATAGTAGCACACACCCACCTCTCATCGATCACACTTTATTCCAATTGTCCACCAAGAGCAAATAAACCTACCCTGTTCTTGCAGGAGAATGTATAAATGGCTTCTTGTTCTTCTATATAACAGTTGTGCTGCTTGATGATAATCCTAGTGCTGTCATATGGGAGCAGGGAAAAACCCTATAAAAACTCCACAGTTTTTTAATGATATTATTCGCAAAGTACCCTTTAGTATTCATTACCCTATCTGAAAGCCAAACTGAACCTTTAGTTTAAATAAGTTAAACATATTACACGTGCATCAAAACACAGGGTGTTCAATATCTTAAGTTTGTTTTCTCTCTAAAGCAGCCACAGTCTGCTTGGCGCCAACCATTCTTCAGTTTTTGCGGAGGTTAGCCAGCTGCTTATGGGAACCATGATATATGAAAAGTTAATTTCTATACTGCGAAATATCTGAAAATTTGGGATCCTTGGATATCCTATAATGACCATTTCCATCTGGATCGCTCCTTACTCTCCATTTTATGGATTGGATGGCCCACTCTTATGCTGAGCCATAGCCTGAATCACGTGGGAACCCCCTGTTCCCCCCTTCCTTCCATAGCAAACCCTTCTTTCCTACTTCCTTCCATGTATTTTCTTTTTTGTTTCCTCATTGCTCTCTGAGGCCTTCAGACGGAGGCTTTCCATTCTTTCTCTCTTCTCATCTCACTCAGAGTTTTCATTTCAGCTCCACCCACTTTCCTTCTTTTCACCTAGTTGAGGCCATTATCCCCTTTCACTGCCCATGTTTACCCTTTTCCAATTTTAGGGAACTTTTGGGATTTTGTACAGT